TCTGTTTTTGTGCCAGTACCATACTGTCTTGATGATGACAGCTTTGTCATAGAGCTGGAAGTCCGGAATTGTGATGCCGCCAGCTTTGCTTTTCTTTTTCAATATTCCTCTGGCTATTCAGGGTCTCTTCTGGTTCCATAGAAAGTTTAGGATTATTTGTTCCATTTCTTTGAAAAAAGTGGATGATATTTTAATGGGGATTGCAATGAATGTGCAGAGTGCTCTTGGTAGCATTGACATCTTCACAATGTTTGTTCTTCCAATCCATGAGCATGGAACGTTTTTCCATTTCTTTGTGTCTTCCTCAATTTCTTCATGAGTCTTTTATAGTTTTCTGAGTACAGATCCTTTGCCTCTTTGGTTAAATTTATTCCTAGATATCTTACGGTTTTGGGTGCAATTGTAAATGGGATCGACTCCTTGATTTGTCTCTCTTCTGTCTTGTTGTGGTGTATAGGAATGCCACTGATTTCTGTGCATTGATTTTATATCCTGCTACTTCACTGAATTCCTGTATGAGTTCTAGCAGTTTTGGGGTGGAGTCTTTTGGGTTTTCCACATACAGTATCATATCATCTGCCAAGAGTGGGAGTTTGACTTCCTCTTTGCCGATTTGGATGCATTGGATTTCTTTTTGTTGTCTGATTGCTGTGGCTAGGACTTCTAATACTATGTTGAATAGCAGTGGTGAGAGTGGACATCCCTGCCACATTCCTGACCTTAGGGGAAAAGCTCTCAGCTTTTCCCCATTGAGAATGATATTTGCTGTAGGTTTATCATAGATGGCTTTCATGATATTAAGGTAGGTACCCTCTATCCTTATACGCTGAAGAGTTTTGATCAAGAAAGCATGCTGTACTTTGTCAAATGCTATTTCTGCATCTATTGAGAGGATCATATGATTCTTGTTCTTTCTTTTGTGAATGTATTGTATCACGTTGATTGATTTGCGGATGTTGAACCATCGTTGCAGCCCAGGGATAAATCCCACTTGGTCGTGGTGAATAATCCTTTTAATGGACTGTTGGATCCTACTGGCTAGTATTTTGGTGAGAATTTTTGCATCCATGTTCATCAAGGATATTGGTCTGTAATTCTCCTTTTTGATGGGGTCTTTGTCTGGTTTGGGGATCAAGGTAATGGTAGCCTCCTAAAACGAGTTTGGAAGTTTTCCTTCCTTTTCTATTTTTTGGAACAGTTTCAGAAGAATAGGTATTAATTCTTCTTGAAATGTTTGGTGGAATTCCCCTGGGAATCCGTCTGGCCCTGGGCTCTTGTTTTTTGGGAGATTTTTGATGACTGATTCAATTTCCTTAGTGGTTATAGGTCTGTTCAGGTTTTCTATTTCTTCCTGGTTCAGTTTTGGTAGTTGATACATCTCTAGGAATGCACCCATTTCTTCCAGGTTATCTAATTTGCTGGCATAGAGTTGCTCATCATATGTTCTTATAATTGTTTGTATTTCTTTGGTGTTGGTTGTGATCTCTCCTCTTTCATTCATGATTTTGTTGATTTGGGTCATTTCTCTTTTCTTTTTGATAAGTCTGGACAGAGTTTTATCAATCTTGTTAATTCTTTCAACAAACCAGCTCCTAGTTTCATTGATCTGTTCTACTGTTCTTTTGGTTTCTAGTTCATTGATTTCTGCTCTGATTTTTATAATTTCTCTTCTCCTGCTGGGTTTAAGCTTTATTTGCTGTTTTTTCTAGCCCCTTTAGGTGTACGGTTCGGTTGTGTATTTGAGACCTTTCTTGTTTCTTGAGAAAGGCTTGTATTGCTATATACTTTCCTCTCAGGACTGCCTTTGGTGTATCCCAAAGATTTTGAACAGTTGTGTTTTCATTTTCATTGGTTTCCATGAATTTTTTTAATTCTTCTTTAATTTCCTGGTTGACCCATTCATTCTTTAGTAGGATGCTCTTTAGCTTCCATGTATTTGAGTTCTTTCCGACTTTCCTCTTGTGACTGAGTTCTAGTTTCAAAGCACTGTCGTCTGAAAATATGCAGGGAATAATCCTAATCTTTTGGTATTGGTTGAGACCTGATTTGTGACCTAGGATGTGATCTATTCTAGAGAATGTTCCATGGGCACTAGGGAAGAATGTGTATTCCGTTGCTTTGAGATGGAATATTCTGAATATGTCTGTGAAGTCCATTTGGTCCAGTGTGTCATTTAAAGTCTTTATTTCCTTGTTGTTCTTTTGCTTAGATGATCTGTCCATTTCAGTCAGGGGGGTGTTAAAGTCCCCCACTATTATTGTATTGTTGTCAATGTGTTTCTTTGCTTTTGTTATTAATTGCCTTATATAATTGGCTGCTCCCATGTTCGGGGCATAGATCTTTACAATTGTTAGATCTTCTTGTTGGATAGACCCTTTAATTAGGATATAGTGTCGTTCCTCATCTCTTATTACAGTCTTTGTTTTAAAATCTAACTTGTCTGATATAAGGATTGCCACCCCAGCTTTCTTTTGGTGTCCTTTAGCATGATAAATCATTTTCCACCCCCTCACTTTCAATCTGGGGGTGTCTTTGGATCTAAAATGAGTCTCTTACAGACAGCATATTGATGGGTCTTGTTTTTTAATCCATTCTGTTAACCTGTGCCTTTTGATTGGGGCATTTAGCCCATTTACATTCAGGGTAACTTTTGAAAGATATGAATTCAGGGCCATTGTATTGTCTGTAAGGTGACTGTCACTGTACATTGTCTGTGTTCCTTTCTGGTCTATGCTGCTTTCAGGCTCTCTCTTTGCTTAGAGGACCCCTTTCAATATTTCTTGTAGGGCTGGTTTCGTGTTTGCAAATTCCTTTAGTTTTTGTTTGTCCTGGAAGGTTTTTGTCTCCCCTTCAATTTTCAATGACAGCCTAGCTGGATATAGTATTCTTGGCTGCATATTTTTCTCGTTAATGCTCGGAAGATATCATGCCAGTCCTCTCTGGCCTGCCATGTCTCTGTGGATAGGTCTGTTGCCAATTTAATGTTTCTACCATTGTAGAATGGTCCTCTTCTCCCAAGCCGCTTTCAAGGTTTTCTATTTGTCTCTGAGACTCGTAAGTTTTACTATTAGATATCAGAGTGTTGACCTATTTTTATTGATTTTGAGAGGGGTTCTCTGTGCCTCCTGGATTTTGATGCCTGTTTCCTTCCCCACATTAGGGAAGTTCTCTGCTATAATTTGCCCCAATATACCTTCTGCCCCTCTCTCTCTTTCTTCTTCTTCTGGGCTCCCAATTATTCTAATGTTATTTAGTCTTATTTTATCGCTTATCTCTCGAAATCTGCCCTCGTGATCCAGTAGTTGTTTATCTCTCTTTTTCTCAGCTTCTTTATTTTCCATCATTTGATCCTCTATATCGCCAATTCTCTCTTCTGCCTCATTTATCCTAGCTGTTATTGCCCCCATTTTTGATTGCACCTCATTAATAGCCTTTTTGATTTCGACTTGGTTAGATTTTTGTTCTTTTATTTCTCCAGGAAGGGTGTCTCTAATAATTTCCCTGCTTTTTTCAAGCCCAGCTAGTATCTTTAAAATCATCATTCTGAACTCTAGTTCCAACATCTTACTAATGTCTGTATTGATTTGGTCCCTGGTTGTTGGTACTGCCTCTTGTTCTTTTTTTTTTTTTTTTGAGGTGATTTTTTTCCATCTTGTCCTCTTGTCCAGAGGAGAAGAAATGAATGAGAGAACAAAATGCTAACAGGGTTAACAATGACCCCAGGAAAATGTACACTAAACAAATCAGAGGAGACCTTAAACCGGGGGAAAAGAAAGGAAAAGAAAAAGAAGAAAGAAAAAGAAAAAGATAAAAACCAAAAAAACAAAAACAGAATATGATCAAATATGATCAGGCTGGTGCATAGATCAGTGCCACACACTAGATTTTGCTCATATATATATATTTTTTCCACAAAGGCTACAAATTTTATTGACTCTGATTACACATTAAATGTGTTAGAATTCTACAAAGATTCTCACTTCCTAAGCAGAAAAATAACTTGTATTGTATTAGCAGATCCTCATACCATTTAAAAATTTCATTTATGAATTACTACATGATGCTTAGGTGCTCTACTATAATCACTTTTTGTTGTTATTATGGAATGATGAAAATGTCTGTTAGGAAAACAATTTGCTGTTTGCACTTGCTTGTAATTTTAAATACTCTGAGAAAGGAGTAAGCAGAGCCATTGGAAAGGCCCATCGTTGGCTCAGCGACCTTTGGAAATTATGTTCTTGACTCAGTCATCTCCTCCACAGATCTTTAAGAGTGTGATTTCATAGTTCCAGAAGTATCCGATTTAATTGCCAAATATAGGGAATAACCATAATACTTCTTAAACTCTGCTCGAATGTCCAGAAGGTCTATTTCTGATCTGGACACCATTATTTCGTTCAGAGTAAACTCATTGGTTCCAGCACCCTTTAAAGCCTGATACAGTCTTTCAGTTAAGAAGGCAGGCATGGTTCTGGCACAATGAACTATGGCCAGAAGTAGGTCTTCAAAATGCCCAGACAATTATCCTCTTATGCTGTCCTCAATGTCCTTCTGGCTAATATTTCTGTATTCATCAAATGTCAGTTTCAGTTGAGGAAAACTCCTTAAACAGAGGATCTCGGTGAATTTATCTTCATCTGTGCCCCATCTGTTCTCCCCAGCATTATAGAGAATCTGGGCATCCTTTTTGGCCAGCAGCCCATCCACTTTCATACTCTCATCTCTTCTGACATCTGCCAAAGTCAACAGAGCCTTCTGGAAATCACCAGATGTTTCAGAACTAATGTCATCTCCAAGACTCTTCTTATATACTGTGTAGTAGGCTTGAGAGATCTCCTTCATCTGCCTGCTCGTTCTGGTGGTTAAGATTTCAATCAGTGCATGTTCACTTGTTCCAGTGCCCTTCATGGATTTCTTCAGCTGCTTTGCATCAAACACAGCCAGAGGAGTCACAAGGGCCACCATGAGTTGCTTAAAGTGGCCAGAGAGAAAATATGAAAAAAATGAGAAAATATGAAAATCTTATTTTTTGGGAGATAATCCTCAACCATCTATTGTTTAATGAAAATAAATTTTATGTCACATTGTCAGCATTCAAACCTCTGTTTCTCTCAATTATTGTTTCTATTCAAACACCTGTTGGCCATGACCAGCCTTAGTGTGTAACGAAGTCTGCTAAATACTCTCTTGGGTGTGTCAAATGACAAAAGTAAAACAATTTAATCTGTAGACCTTGATGTCCTTTATTCAAAGGAGAACTATCCATGGATTGGGGAGCTCGGTGTCTCATAAGCAGGGGAACACTCTGCTCCAGGGATTTGGGCCAGAGGGAACAGGCAGGACCTGCTGGGAGGGCAGGAATTTCCTTACAAGGCTAGCAGGTCAATCAGGGAATGAGGAGATAGTGTTTGGCTTAGGATGATTGGCTGGGGTTGCATATCTGATCTTATTTATAACAGGGAAATCATGACAGATTCCTCATGTTTGGGGCCTGGCTGGCTGGGATATACTGTGTTTCTGGTCAAGGGCAGCATTTACAGGGACAGAAAAGTTCAGTTCAGTTCAGTTTGCTGACTTGGCACCCCAGGCAAGATTGCCTCCATCCTGGGCCTGGAAATACATGTCAGCAGGTGACAATTGTCTTCCTGTCCTCAGTCTCGTCCTCCCGTGGTACTTCTGTGCTCTTCTCTAAGTGGTGCCAAAAGGGTATATCTCTCTGAAATTGACACATGTTTATAAAGGCGAAAACTCTTGAGCAGCACAGAGAGTAGCCAAGTCTCCGCCCCGCCCCCCGCCCCCATGTGAGAGTGGAGAGTTGTGAGCAAGACCCCATGGTCTCCAGGAAGAAAGAAATCAGGTGGCTCTTGAAGGAGCAGCACTTTCTGTCCCCCCAGGTCATCCCGCTGCTGCCATGAATGAAACTGCTCTGAAGGCCCCAGACCTCAGCCCCAGGGGAGAGACGGGGGTCAGAGCAGGTGTGGACTCAGGCAGACCCTGTGCAAAGAGCCAGGTGCTGAAGCTTGGACCTTTCCATTGAACCTCTGAGAGGCCAGCGGGCTTTCCGTGACCTGGGACAGCTCCCTTCTGACCATGGAGCATCTGAGATCTATTCCAGTTTGACTTCTTCCCTTAGTCACAGGGAATAAATTAGATGTACATGTGCTGTCAACACTTAGTGAACTGGACAAGGCCAGAAAACCCAAAACAGTAAAGTCATTGATATATTTTGATGAGAGGACTGTGGGTAAAATACTCTTTCTTTTATCTTCAACTTATACCTTTAAAACACTATGTGTTGAAAAAACGGTTAAAAAATAATTTCCCTTTGTTAGACAAATAGCCTCACGTTTAAAACCAAGTCGTTAGTGTCATGCTGGGGAATTACACTTTGCTATGGAATCACAGAAACTTAGAACTTAAAGATGAAAAGTGTAGGGGCCCAGGGCAGGCTGCCTGTGATGGACCACTTCAGATTATTCTGAGTTAAAGATTATTCTGAGTTAAAATCAACAAAACCCAGCAGATGCAGGAAAAGCTTCTGCCTCCCCCCGAACTGCAGAAATTTACACTAGAAATTTGCACTGGAACTCATCTGCATAACTGGGCAACCTTGTTCTTCCTAACACTTCCTCTCACCTTCCTGCTCCTGGCCCCTTTGTGTCCTCAGACCCTGCCTCTCTTCTTAGCTCAAATAAGCTTCCTGTTGCCTCATTGTCTTTAGAATTTCTGTGTTTTTGTGGACTCCTCATATGTCTACCTATTAAATTTGATTTTCTTCTGTTAATCTGTCTCATATCAATTTGATTCTAAGTCCAGCTAAAGGACCAAAGGCTAGAGGAAGGTCTTTCCCCAACAAAAGGAAAGCCTTCCTTCCAGAAGCCTCATTGTTCCTTATCTTTAGAGAAAACAGCTCCCTAAATGCAGGAGACTCATTCAATATGATAGGACCATGAGCAGCTGAGGTGGGATTAGAACCCCCACCCCCTTCTCTCTACTGTGCGCACCTCTCATTGAGTGGACCTGGCATTTCAAACTTAGTCACTACATGCAGAGCGCCCACCTCCCATCAGGCATGGGGCCAGGTCCCTTTCAGACATTAACTTCAATTTTGTAACCATGAAAATAATAGAATCTATGAAGCACACATGAGTATTGTCAGGCAACAGAGAATGACAGGCTTTTGGACATTCTTCACCAAGGACTCCTCTAAAAAGATTATCAATTCTGATAATCACTGAACCTGCTTTATTAGAAGAAATTAGGATCGGTTACATTGGTCCGCTTTGGCTTTCCTCAAAAAGCTAAATGTGTGTGTGTGCACGTGACCACATAGCAAATCCGTTTGACAGAGGATTTCTGTTCCTCTAAAGTCAAAAGTTTGCCTCACATAGGGTTGCCAGAGTTAATGGGGAAAAAGCACAATGTGTTATACAGTATTTGGGACATAAGTTACAAGAAATCAAATCCACAACGAGATATCACTCACACCTGTTTGAATGGCTATTGTCAAAAAGAGACGAACCATGAGAGATGATGGACTCTGAAAAACAAACTGAGGGTTCTAGAGGGGAGGAGGGTAGGGGGATGGGTTGGCCTGATAATGGTATTAAAGAGGGCACATTCTGCATGGAGCACTGGGTGTTATGAACAAACAATGAATCATGGAACACTACATCAAAAACAAATGATGTAATATATGTTGATTAACATAACAATAAAAAATTTAAAAAAAGAGTACAAATAAGTGTCATCACAGAAGCTGGGAGGTGAGGAAGCGCAGGGACTCGGGGTGACCGTCCTTTGCTCAGGGACCCCATGTGCGTGGGACAGGAGGCTGCCTCAGGAGCAGCTCGGAGAGCAGATGCTCCCAGGCAAGCTCAGTGTCTTACAGTCCTGGAAAATCCTTGCTGGGATGGAAGTCTCATGGTTCCAAAATTAAGAAAGTAAAACTGCTGTCACTCTAGAGTAGGAAGAAAATTCTTTTTTAAAAAAATTAATTAATTTCAGGGAGAGAGAGAGAGAGACCACAAACTGGGGGAGGAGCAAAGGGAGAGGGAGGGAGAAAGAATCTCTAGCAGACTGCACTGCGTGTGGAGCCTGATGTGAGGCTCAATCCCAGAACCCTGAGATGATGACCTGAGTGTAAATCAAGAGTCCAATGCTTAACCGACTGAACCACCAAGGTGCCTCAAGGAAAATTCTTAAAATAAAAAAAAATAAGACAAATATCCTCCACCAAACTGTTAAAAGAAATCATAGGCTACAGCATTGAAAAGTGTGAACTGTTGGCACTAGACTTTATTCATGGAGCCCAGGGGACCCTAGAAACGGTGTGGGGTGAGAGGGAGTGGAAAAATCTTAAATTTCATCCTCCGGGCCTTATGCTGTTAGTGGTGATTATAATGTTGTTTACATGTATATTTTTATAAATTCATGTTGATAGTATTAGAAAGATTTCAGTGTAAGGGAAAAATGCAAATATATAATTTTTCACGTTTAGTACAAACTCTATAGGATATAATTTGAATCTTTCCTCTAAAAAATACTCTTTAGCTACCCACTGGAAAAAAAGAAAAAGAAAAGAAAGCAGTAATAATCCAGACGCGAGCACTCCAAGGGTCTATGTCGTGGTATCAAATACCCTTTCTTACCACAAGTATCAGGCGGCAGTTGAGAAATGACTGAAAACAGAAATAACATAATCATAAAAGAATCAACCACTTACCCGTCCATTTCCATACAGACTCTGTTTCAGGCTACACAGAGCTTATGAATGACAGCTCTTCTCTATGGAATTATTACCACAGCTAAGTGCAGGAGAAATCAGAGACAATTCGAGAATTTGGAAATCACCCCCAGGCACCCTCTAATGAGACACTGGACCAGAGACGTGTCCTAGGGGGTCCCCAGCTCCCTCGCCGGCACTGGCGCTGCTCCCGCTGCCCTTCTGTGCCCCTCCCCCACTGTTCCCCCACCTCCCTCCACCCCCATGGCTGTGTCCACGCTCTTTCTTTGTCTCCTGTCCTGTTGCTGTCCGTCCCTCTGAGTCTTTCTCTCTCTGTCTCCTGTTCTAGCTGGGTCTCCTTTTCCTGCTTTCTTTCTCTTTATCTCTCCTCTGTCTCCTCCTGATCTCTCTCTCTCTGTGTGTCTCTCTCTATGTCTCTCATCTGTCTCTGTACTTCTGTCTCCCGACGTCTGTCTGCCCATCTCTACTCCCTAGTTCCTTCATCTATTGACATCTCTCTTACTATTTCACATTCTATCTCTATCTCTCTACCTCTCTTTTCATGGCCACAGTAGCTACTTTAAATTCTATGTCATTCCATCTGTGTCATCTCTCTGATGACCACAGTCTGCTGCTCTCGGCACTGTCTTCATATGAGCCTCTTCCGTCCATTGTCCCTTTCTTCTCTCTGGTCCTCTTGTCTGGTCTCCTGGGGCCTGTGGGTTGCAGGCCTGTGGGTCTGTGCTCGGGATGGTGGCGGGATGTGTCCAAGTTCAGAAATGTACATTTATTCCTTTGGCTTCTCCTGATGATCACATCTATTATATGTCAAGACATCTGAACGATGATGGCAGTGATAGAACTGTCACCAACATTACTGTCTCAGGGACAAGGTCATCACACACACTAGTGCTTATAGTTCTATCTCAGCTGGCTGTGACGTGCTACCTAGGAACAGTATGAGAGATAGTCTGTTGATCATGACTGTCCTACGATTTCATGACCTGTAAATGGGTCTCTCTCTATATATTGTTTTCTGACCACAGGGTGGCTGGTCCATTGTGTTCTTAATGAGCTTTGTGAGGGCGCATACCTCTGTATCAAGAGCACTTGGAGAAATGCCTGGAAGATGCTATGTTTAATATATATGTATGAAATAATGTATCATGTGAATGCTTTAGAAGTTTCGTACAAGAGTGTTAATAAAACTGAATTACATACTCTGCTTCTTGCATAGAAGATG